GCTGCTTTCATAGTCTGCGGTCCGTGCCGTCCGCGCCGCCCGCGCGGACGGCTCGGACAGGGTGAAAAACGTCAACACGCGCTCCGGCGCATAATGCGCACTTGGCGCGCAGTCGGCGCCTCCCTCGATCGATAATGCTGATTTCGAAACATTTTTTCTGTATTTTGACGTTTTGTGCGCCGTTTTGCTTTTTCTTGCGGTTGCTTAGCCCAAAACTTTTCCTTTTTTGTATGGATTACTGCTTTTGCTCACTAATGAACCCACTTGGTGTTTATTGCTACTTTAAACACAGTGTATGAAACTAACCATTCTAGGACAGTTGAAAAGCAGTGATTCACACAAAAAGGAAAAGGTTCTCGCGAAAAAATACGAGAAGCAACACGGCACAAGGAGCACCAGGAAAACACAAATAGAATGTGATGAAATCGCATTTATAAACTGGAAGGCGTCGACCGGCTTTTGCTTTTTTTTGGCGAGAATATATTTTCTTTTTCATGTGAATCACTGCTTTTCAACTGTTCTGGAATGATTAGGTTCATACACTGTGTTTGAAAGTGGCAATAAGCACCAAGTGGGTCCATTAGTGAGCAAAAGCAGTAATCCATACAAAAAAAGGAAAAGTTTTGGGCTAAGCAACCGCAAGAAAAAGCAAAACGGCGCACAAAACGTCAAAATACAGAAAAAATGTTTCGAAATTAGCATTATCGATCGAGGGAGGCGCCGACTGCGCGCCAAGTGCGCATTGTGCGCCGGAGCGCGTGTTGACGTTTTTCACCCTGTCCGAGCCGTCCGCGCGGGCGGCGCGGACGGCGCGGACGCACGGACCGCAGACTATGAAAGCAGCCTTACAATGTCGCCTAGCTCGACGGTACGAACTGGCTGAGCATTGCGGCGATTAGCTGGATCTTCGCGAGATTTGTTCCAGTTCGAACAGTTCAAGGATTGGGCTAGTGCCTGAAGAGGCGTGGAAAGGACTCCTGTCAATATTCGTTCGCTATCCCGTATTATGAATTGCGGAGGTATAATACTCACTGAAGAGAATTATGCAGATGCTTGGGACCCAGCTGACAAACCAGATGGTCAAGACAAGGGTATAGAGAAGAGCATGCTTCAACTTGTAAAAAACGAGCAGCAGTTGAGGTTTAACTGAAAGTGATGTACGGCAACGTAAAAATTATCGCACGCATATTAAGGAAAGTCAGCCAACAACACGTCGCTTCACAGGACTAGTACGGCTGGTTTACTACATGCGCCTATGTTAGATAGATGGTGTGATCGCTTGGGGCCTAATAGTAGCTATGAGAAACGGCGCCCACCCGTACGAAACCCCCCCTACGGAGCACTTCGCCAAGCGCAGCGACTCAGAGTTGCGGGTCTCCATCCTAGCACTAACATGACTACGCAAGGTATTGTCCTGAGCTGTAGTGCTGTATGTGGAAAATTAGACCTTCCTCATTGAAGGATAATGGGCACAGGGTTCAAAGCGCAGGAGTTAGCTCAGGATTAATTGCGCAAGGTCTCGACGATTTTCATTTTATTCGTTTCGCAGTTTAGATTGGAATCACAGCAAAGAGGGGAGGGGAAGTGGTTGCGCTGGCTATTGTTTCAAGCAACAGCGACGAAAACGTGGTTTCTGGAAGCTTTCACAAAACTTCGGGTGGGAGCTATGCATAACGAGATCAACCATCTATGCCAACAAGATTTCCGAGCCGATCGTCCTTGTGCATCGCGATGGACCAGTGCCGGAGCGACGCGATCGCTCCATCGCTTGTCCATCGCGATGCAATCGCTCTGCCTAGTGCGATCGCGTCGCTCCGGCACTGGTCTATCGCGATGCAATCGCAGAGTCTGCCCGACATCTAAGAGCCACACTTTGTTCGTTCGCTCAACCAATTAGAATCTTTGGGTATTTCTGTGGCTGGACCGCTGCGAATCTTGTCGTTGCTCTTGTTTTTACGACGAGGTTTTTGTTATCTTATGTCAGTTAATCATATGTTTAGGATGGGTGACCAAAAGGATGTGCTGATAGAGCCGATTAAGGCTGGTCCACGGACCGATCAAGAGCTTATGGCGCATATGGCAGCTCAGGTATGTCGTCTTAAAACTGTTTTGACCCCATGGTCGCTGATCTCCAATTCCCATAATATTTTGTAAACTTCACCCTTCACCACCGATTTCTCTACTTGGCTAATGTCTTTGATAATATCACTACTTTTACGGTATCCTCTCTCGTAATTGCTTTTGCTATGTTGAGTTTGCCGCGCGTGCAGTTTTTTGAGAACATTGTTTGTGATCGGCATTCGAATTCATTTGGTGATTTTGAACGTAGTATTCTGATCATTTTTGTTCAGCATGCTTTTGTTCGCTACAATTTTTGAAATTAGGCAGAGTTTCTCAAGACAAGTGAAGAGTTGAATCAGGGGATAATGGTTTTCTTGTCAGCGGGCCGAAGTGAAGAAAGAATCGCTATATTCAGGTCGGCGATGGTCGTCTGTTCAAAATGGATGTCGACTATACAAGCCAGGTCGACGAAGCTATTCCCAAGGCGAATGCGATCGCTGCGGTAGGTATTAGAAATGTCTCATTCAGCTTATAATGGGACTTTCTGGAAGAGTTGTTTAATGCTTTTCCCATTTCAGAAAGGAGATGTTGCCGCGGCTCTGGACTCTTTGACCAATCTTGAGAAACTTACACGACTTGGTTCAGACATGAAAAGCAATACACGGATCGTTCAGCATATGGTGTGATTTGAACTCCCTTACTAAGTGCCCATTTAAAGTA